CACTAGGAAAAGCCCACAAGGGGGGGCCACATGGAGGTGTGGTTTTAGGCCTGCTACATCAGTAAGTTAACTAGAGGTCAGCGATAACTGAGAGTTGTCCAGTCTCCCACCAGTCAATGTCTTGTTTGACAAGATAGATGTAGGAAGTATACATATGTCTTCGGTCTAGAATACAGATAATGAGGAGTCTAGGATGTAGATAATGAGGTAGGGCGGTGGTATAGATAGTCCAATGGGTAAGAATATCTTTGTGACCCAGTGCAAAGCCAGTTCAAACTAATAATTCCATCAGGTGCTATTTGTAACTGCACCAGTGAGAGAGATAAGGGTCTTGTTAGGGCCCATTCATGAGTGATTGCTAGGCACAGTGTCCTTGGGCTAGGGAGAAACTGCCAGGGTTAGTGTTTCTGAGGCTAGGGAAAAACATGGTCATGAAATTGGGGTTTCCAGTGCAAGCACCCCATCATATCCAGGTGACAGACTTTGGTTTTGCCAAGTGTGTGAAAGGCTGACCTGGACCATATATGGGACTCCCAACATAAGGCTCCTGAGATCATTCTTAGCAAGGGTTATAACAAGTACCCTAGTTATTGTTCCCCCATCTCCTTCCTGCTTTTTTGCTGACCAGCCCATTTAGATATATGAAAAGATTGTCTCTGGGAAAGTGTGATTCCCTTCTCACTTCTGCTTAGACTCAAAGGATCTGCTTTAGAATCTGTTCCAGGTGGACCTTATCAAAGTGTTAGAAGAACCTCGAGAATGATGTCTATAACATTAGGAACCACAAATGGTTCACCACCACCAAACAGATTGCCATATACCAGAGAAAGGTGGAAGCTCCCTTTGTACCAAAGTACAAAGGCCCAAATGACACAAGTAATTTTTAGAATTACAAGGAGGACATGTGAATCTTTATCAATGAGAAGTACAGCAGGGAGTTTGCTGAGTTTTAATGGTGTCCCTGGGTTCTGGTGATTTTCTTTGGGAGTGGAGAGCAGTGTGGATTAAACAGCCTGAGGGCCCACGAGTTCCTTGCATGTTAATTTTTTCCTTAGGGGAATCAGAAACAGAAGATCTTTACAAGGTGGAGGCAGGGCGATTCAAATATTAGGTGGCCCCCTACCCATCATTATCCCCCACTGCTTTCCCCTCATTGTCTCATTCCAGCTGGTAGATCCCAGGCTGAGTTCCCTCTGTTCTTTGCCTAACCCCATGCAAGTTTTAAATTAATTTTCCAGCCCAAACAGACCTGAACCTTCCCTCCCCACAAGGCCACCAAACAGAGAAACAGCTTCTTTGCACCCAAGCCCTTGCTTTTGTAGCTCCTTATTGATGCCACAGGTACCAAGTAGTTGGGGCAGGGGATCTAGGAGTCCGTGTTGGAAAACCTCCAATTCCCGAGACTACCATAGTTGCTCACTCTTTGTCCTTTTCCTGGCCTCACCCTAAAACCTGAGAATCTTATCTAGGGGTAAAAGGACAGACAAACCGGTTTCCCACAAGGAGAGACCCTACCTGGGAAGACATTTTAGTTAAATTGTCATGGTTTCTTTATATTAAAAAAAAAAAATTAAATATTATTGAAGTTATGCTTGCCTTCCCTCCTAACTCCTTCCCACCTTCCCTAGCTGTCCCAAATACATTATAATGTATCTGGGTCTGCCTAGGTTAAAGGCTGTGGAGCTTTTAACCTCTGGGATCTTAGCTGATGGTTTTGAGCTGGGGATGAGGATTTCTCGCTACAGATCTCAACCAGGAAGTTGTGGGAATAATTGTGGGATCCCCTTTAAGGGTATACTGCCAAGTTTGAAAGAGCCCTGGCCACTTTCAGCACCCTGCTACTCCCAATGGTCTCCCTTTCCAGGATCAGCTCTTCTACCCCCACATCTTCCCTGCTTCCCCGTTTTTGCCCACCTAAGGTATTAGCACACCAGGAAAAAAAACCCGTTTCCCACCCCATTCAAGCAGCCTGGTTTGTGAGCCATGCCAAAGAAGGCTTCCCAGAAATCCCTGGGGCACATTTCCTACATTTTTGCCATTCTCATGTATAGATTTTTAATGTACATCCACTAACTTCCCATTCTATCTGAGTGTCACTCCCTGAGAGAAAAGGAAAACGGGAAGTGCCACAAGTGGAGAGCTTCCTTTTGCCCTGAGAATGCCAATGTTTATTCCCCTGATAACCTCACCACCATTTCCCATCCTTAGAAGCAGCTCCATCCGGCTTGACTGACAGCTACTCATCTCTCCTGCCACTGACCCCTTGTCAGGGTATCTCAATTATCATAATTTACTACCCCCTACCCCACCCAGAAGCAGCTCAAATGAGAGCAGCCCCCAGAGAGGGAAGGGTGAATAAGGTTTCAGACTGCTAGAGAAGACTCACAATGATCTAATCAAGGCACAAGTTGACCTTGGGTAATGAGAAGGGCAACCACTGTCAGATAAACAGTAAATCTAATTTTAAAAATAAAGAAGAAAACTAAATTTCCAATATCAGATATGAAGGAGAATTCACCACAAAGGAAGTTGATATAAAGGAAACTATCAAAAAAAATTTTTGGTCAATTAGAGGCCAAACTTGCTGATAACCTAGATGAGATGAATGAATATTTAATTATAAAAATATAAACTATCCAATGTTAATAGAACAAGAAATTTTTAAAAAATAAAAAAAATAAATAAAGCACATGCTTAACTGAACTTCAAAAGAAAGAAAAAAGGATCAGATGGATTCATGAGTGAATTCTTTCCACAATCAAAGAACTGTTAATTCTATTATTGCATAAATTGTTTGCAGAAAAAAGAAAAGGGATTCAGCCAAATTCTTTATGATCCAAATAATCTTGGTACCTACACTGGTGAGAGATAGAAAAAGAAAACCATGTACCAGAGGTTCTTAACATTTTTTCTTTCCTGGACCCCTTTTCCAGTATGGTGAAGCTTATGAACCTCTTTTCAAAATGTTTTTAAATATATAAATTTAAATATGTTGGATTATGAAGGAAGGTAATTATATTTAAATATAGTTATCAAAATACTTTTTTTTAAAAGTACATAGACCACAGGATAAGAACACCTGCTATGGAACAATATCCCAAATGGATATCAATGCAAAAAATTAAATAAAATATTAGCAAAAAGGCTACAAGATATGTAAAAGATTATACACTTCAAGTGGGTTAGATTCCTACCAGAAATACTGTAAGAAAAATAGACTATATTAATGACAACAACATTTAAAGTTACATGATAACATCAATAGATACAGAAAAAGGTTTTAACAAAATATAACTCATTTCTATTCAAAACACCAGAAAGCATACTAATAGCTTGGACCTTTTCTTAATATAGTTAGTGGCATTTATTTAAAACCAAGGACCATCATTATATATAAAAGAGTGAAATGTAGAAGCCTTTCCAGTAGGATTAAGGTAAAGCAAGGGTCTCATCACCACTATAATTTGATATAGTGCTAGAAATGTTAACTATAGTAATAAGACAAGAAAAAGGAATAAACATGGTCAAAGAGAAAACAAAAATATTTTCTCAGGTGATATGGTAGTCTATCTTGAGAACCCAAAAGTTCAGCTAAAAATTAATATAACTACTGAAGTATCAGGATATAAAATAAACCCACATAAATTAGAAAATTGCAGAAAGAGAAGTTTCATTCAAAATACCTATACAAAGTATAATATATTTGGAAGTCTGCCTTCTAAAGTACATGCAGGAATTATTTCATTTTAACTATGAAACACTGTACAGAAATGTAGACAGAGTAATGTTAATTGCTCATAACTGGACCATTACCAATTTAATAAAAAGGACTGTACTACCTAAACCTAAACTAATCTAATTACTTAGTCCCATGCCATTCAAACTACTAAAGTATAGAGGTAGCAAAAATAATAATCAAATTCATTTGGAGGAATAAAAGGTTAAGAACCCAAGTGAAAAAATGGGAAAAAATAGGAAGGAAAGTAGCCTTAGCAGTACCACATTGCAAACTGTAGTACAAAGCCATAATCATAGCTATTTGGTATTAGTTTTTGTTTTCTTTTTTAAAGTTCAGTGGAACAAATTAGGACACATGATACAGAAGGAAAGGAAAACATAATGTTTCTGGCCCCAGATACTCATTCACTGTGTAATCTGGGCATCTCGGTTAACTTTGCTGTGCCTCAGTTTCCTTATCTATGAAGTGTAGGGGCTGGACTTGATAGCCACTAATGTTCCTTCCAGTTTTAAATTTGTTATCCTCTAAGAGTATGAAACCCAGAAACTGTACTTACTGAAGTAAGAAGTCACTATTCGATAAAAACTATTAGGAAAACTGGAAAGCAGGCTGGCAAAGATTAGGTTTAGATACATAAGTCATGCCATATATCCCAATAAATTCCAATTTGATTTGTCTTAAATACAAAAAGTCCCACCATAAGTAAGTTGGAAGATTATAAACAAAAACAGCTTTCAGGGACTTAAGAGCCCATAGCATCACTTTCCAGCTATCTCCATGCCAGGATGCCATGCTTGTTTTGATCCTCTCGCTGCCCTTCCCCTTCCAACTCTAGCTCTCAGTAAATCTGGGGGAAAAAAAAAAAAAGCTCATCAGTAAAATCCACACTACAATTACTAGAAATATAAATTAATTTTCCTTTGACTCTAGTCACCATCCCCACCGACTTCCCATTCTAAAACATTCCTTCCTGGCCAATACTATTCTATATATTGTATTCCCCTAGTTTTTAATTAAATTTCATTTTTTAAATTTGCATTGCCAATATTTAACATAGTTATTGGCACTTAATAAGTTCTTAATAAATGCTTTTTCATTCATTAACTTCATAAAACTAAAAACATATTACTAAAGAAAGAACTTCTGGGAGAACTGTCTAAATCTGGTACAAAATAGGTTTTGATCAGCATCATATACCACATATTGCTTTAAAAAAAAATCCAAATAGGGGCAGCTAGGTGGCGCAGTGAATAGAGCACCGGCCCTGAAGTCAGGAGAACCTGAGTTCAAATCCAGCCTCAGACCAAACACTTGACACTTACTAGCTGTGTGACCCTGGGCAAGTCACTTAACCCCAATTGCCTAAAAATAAAATAAAATAAAAATCCAAATGAATACTAGGTAAAAATAAAAACTTTACAATTAAAAATTTTAGAGGAAAATAGAAGGTTACAGCTCTAAGAAGTATGAATAGGGGATGAGTTTTTAGGCATGCTGGATAGAGAATTTTGTAAAAAAAAGAAATCTTTGTCAGAAGTAATCTATGGCTTCAAGGAGAACAAAAATATTGACTGGGGAAATCTTGGCAGAAAATTCTCTGATTAAATTTTATATCAGAATCTATACAAGGCTACAAGATTAACAGTCATTTTCTAGTTGATGTCTTAAATGAACAAAGACATCATAGGTCTTAGAATTAGCAGGGACCCATGTACTTTAACCTCCAGCCCTCTTTTCTTTTTTTGTTGAAGAAACTGAATCCTAAAGAAGTAAGTTCTCTTGTCCAAAGTTATAAGGATTAATTAGTAGATCTAGGATGTAAAATAAAATAAAAATTGAAAATTACTGGTGGTATCTCTGATAAGGGTCTCATTTCTAAAATATATAGAGAATTAAGTGAAATTTATAAGAATACAAGTCATTCCCCAATTGATAAATGATCAAAGAATATGAACAGGCAATTCTCAGATGAAGAAATTAAGGCCGTCTATAGTCATATGAAAAAATGTTCTAAATCACTATTGATTAGAGAAATGCAAATCAAAACAACTGAGCTACCACATCACACCTATCAGATTGGTCAACATGACAAAACAGGACAATGATAAATGTTGGAGAAGATGTGGGAAAATTGTAACACTAATGCATTATTGGAGTTGTGAACTCATCCAATCATTTTGGAGAACAATTTGGAACTATGCCCAAAGGGCTATAAAAATGTGCATACCCTTTGACCCAACAATAGCACTTCTAGGGCTATGTCCCAAAGAGATCATACAAATGGGAAAAGGACCCACATGTACAAAAATATTTATAGCAGCTCTTTTTGTTTTGGCCAAGAATTAGAAATTGAGGGAATGCCTATCAACTGGGGAATGGCTGAACGAGTTGTAGTATGTGAATGTAATGGAATACTATTTTGAAAAAAAAAA